CACGTGTGTTAATATGCCCTTTTCTCCTAAAAAGCAGACTAAACGGATAAATGTTCCCAATCCATTTCTCACAAAATGTTAAATTTCAGGCAATGTTAATTCTATGCAACGTGGTAGACAAAGCAAAATAAACAGACAAGGGGGGCAGTAATGGAAAGTGCAGAAGTGGGGGAGGGAAAGATGGCCAAATAAAACTGAAAATACTAGGTAAAAAGTTTTAAAAGGCTTCAGCAAAACTTGACATCTTTAGAAAATACTGCACCCTGTGAATCTCAGGGCAGGTACCCCAGGGCAAAGGGGTATAGCTCATTCTTCCAAAATGACAGTCTCCTTAACATCTCTCCAAGTAATCCCCATATACTTAGAAATACTACTCTAGCTGAAGTTTTTGAATAAATTCATACTTAAATAAGTTGCCATGTAAAGATAATGAAACTAAAACCTATCAAAATCTCACTGTATTCACAGGCCAAAAGTTATATCAACACGTTAGGTATGGGTCAATCTATTTTTTAAAATGTACTCACCTGGGTAATATAAATGCATAAAGAAAGTTACCCAGATTCAACAATCTGTAAGTAGACAACCTAAAAAAAAATCTTTTTGTCACTGGCTAATGTCCAATTACACGGGAAGGACTTTGTGAACACCCAAAAATGACGATAACTTAAAAGCAACAACAAATCAACTTATAACATTAGTCACAGTCAGATCAATCTAAGATAACAATATACTGGATTTTTCTGGAAGGCCTATATTTCAAATCATTTCTCCCTAGGGTATGGAAAAATATGTGGTGGCAAAACTTAAAGAGATGATCAGCAATGAAGTCATACAGACAGAAATACACTTGCCTGTAATTTAAAGTAAATGGAAGTTAACTTCTTTAATTTTATTCACCAAACAAATATTACTTATGTATTTCATCTTATTTATCTTCCATTTTTGTCAAATGAAAAATCAATTGTAAAGGCAGACTCTAAAAATAAGTGGTAGCAATATAAAGTCATAAGTAACTACTGAAAGCAGTTACATGTAACTGACTAATCTCCTGGCTTATATTGTAGGAAAGAGTATCTGTGTTTGTTTCATTCATTCAACAAGTAATTTACTGAGCACCCATGATGTGCCAAGAACTGTGCTCAGCACTATAGACTTCTTAAAAGTTCAGATCACAGCCTCTGCCCTCTAAGAGCTTACAATCTATTACTCATTGAAAAGACAAAGCAAGTAAAACCATAATAAAACAAGGCTAGAATAAGTGAAACAGTAAGAGTTATGAGCAGATTACATAGGATTTTATTTTGATAATCTGAAAGGGAGATGTATGCTGGGCAAATTTATTGCTGAGGACCTCTTGGAGAAGGCAGGACTTGAAATGGCAGAATTTATTTAGGTAAACAAAGTAAAGTTCACAGTGGTAATGAGCTGGTTGGGGCAGGAGAGCAAGAAAAACACAAGCTTGGTCGTGAAATAATATAATCACTCAAAATACCATGAGAAGACCAGTCCGAATTCATATTAGGGAATGCAAAGGCATGCAGCTCAGAATCATGCTTTGAATTATACACCAAGAGATCACTGCAAGTTAAGTTGTAGAAAGTAGATGTTAAGCTATAGGCACAGGAAAACACTGGAAGTTCTAGGGCAAGAAAATAACTCACTGAAATCTAAAAAGTTTTTGAGGGGACAAGTTTGAAGCAAGAAAACTAGCTAAAAAGTTATAACGATATCCAAGGCATGATGCAGCTCAGACAGCAACAGGAATAGAAATAAGGTCTATAAAAACCTGCCTTATTCAAAATGAGAATAAGAAAATCCAACTTAAAGAGGAATTACTCATTTATCAATTTAACTAACAAAAGCAAAAAGAAAAAATACTGAATAACTAGAATTAGGGAGGCATTACTAAAAGAATTTATTTTCTTATATATCAACCCATAAAATCTTATATATATCATCTATCCTTATGAAATGATCTAAATTGAATCATAGGCTGTTAGAGCTGAAAGGGACCTTAATTTTTTTATTCTACTCTTCTCATTAAAAGAAGAGAAAAATTAAGAATTAAAGAAAGGGGAAAAAAGATGGGGAGGAAGACTCTTGGGCTTAACTGAAGAAAAAAAATCACCTGTATAAGGGCAGTTTATGTTGTAGAAAAGACAACAGAAGAGTAAGATGTGAAAATATTTTAAAGCAAAACATTATTTACAATACACATGGAGAAAGAAGACAGCTTCATACATATCTTAATACAATCTCTTACTGGAAATAACATTCATACAACTTGTAAGGTCCCTTCCAACTGTAAGATCCTATAATTCTATAAAAGTAGAAGCAAAACTTTCCCATCGGAAGCTACTGTACAATAAGAAAGGTAAATTTAACTTACAGGATAAACTTCAAAGAGTATTATTAAGCCCTATTTGATAATTTCCAAATGCTTATTACTACTAACAGATTGAGTCTGAATTCTACAAAGGGCATTATAGGTTATCTTCTGAATTAAAACAAATGAAAGCATACTACTCCTTTAATCATTTGCTCTAATTTCAAAAAATACAAACTCTGGCTAACGTAGACTGTTATGTTCAGTCTGCATATTATTTTACAAATTTTAAAATTTCATGTCACGTTCAATAGCATTCCAAATACCACAATCATTTAGCAAGTAAGACTGCCACCAATTATAGTCCTCAGCTGGCCCCAGAATGAGATCTTAATGTGAACTAGACAATATACATGAAGGTTCCATAACCTTCAGTTGCAACGTCTGAAGAATCTGTGAATTAACTTTTTAAAATTGGATGGCAGAACCCTACCAACTTTGTGTCACTGCAGCCAACTATATAGGCACCCTGCTTCTTATTATCTTCTGACCACTTACTGCTCACTAACACTTCTGAGGTTGGGTAGAAAGAAGACATGATGCAGAAAGAAAGATCAAGTTTGAGAATTACCAACTTATTTTAAGGTAGTTTTTTTATAGGGCTTTAAATTAGATTCCTGGATACATGATTATATTATTCATGCCCTCTCAGTCTGCTATAACACCTAAAAAAAGCATTTATTTTACCATGATCTGGGCTCCATATTTGTTAGATACCAAGAGGGAAAAAAAGGAATAACCTAATTTAAGGGGGAAAAAAAAAGGGGATTCTCTTAATTTCCTCAAAGCTGGACTCTTAAGTCATTCAATCATTATCCTAAAAGGAGCCAAAGAGACAGACAGACTTTTTACACATCTAAATAGGGTAAGCATAAAGGCGCAAAAGCTTAAAGGGCATTCCTGGTCTAGGAAAAATGTAGAAGAAAACCACAAGGTAAAAGTATCTGAATGAATGTGTACCAAGTAGCAAATAACCTTACTAGGAAGACGGTCACTATAAAGTAAAGAGAAAGGGCCATAAAGCAAACTGTGACCAGCTTATGTCAATGAGATACATGAATACTTAAAAAATAAAATAATATTTGCATGTTACTCGAAATGACTAGCTGGTATCTTGGTTTTGGTAGTGCAATAGCACCAATACAGCAAGGGTAAGCAGGTCAATCCCTTGCAAAACTTACCTTGATTGGCCCAATGGAAACAGAAGGCCCCAGAAAAGAGAGAAGCATCTGGCAGTAGCAAATTGTTTTATTTTATCTTTCTGTGGAAAGAAACTAATTTTAAATAAGAACCAGAGCATTTAAAGAATAAATATTTTTTTAAAGCTCATTATCTAGTTAGAGCAGCTCTACTAAGAAAACAAGAAGAGCTCCTTGCTGTTTAGAGATGGAATGAAACAGAAGAGGAATCAGAGTTGTTTCTCCATCACCTAGGGAGTTTTAAAACTTGTGTTATCCTAAAGTAACATAAATAGTTCTTTTATTTAAAGAACTCCTACAAGTAGAATCTTTTGGGCCTGGTGCCTTTCAATAAAGACTTTTATACAAAATTAAGGGCTATATTTCAAATAAAAAAGATAAACCACTTGACATTAAGCCCTTCTACTCTTGAGTTTAAAAAAAAAAAAGACACAGAGTGAGCTCCTTTCTCCACTGCAATTTCACCAATAACTCAAACCATCAAGGTTTAAATGATTATCAAAGCAAATGATGCCCCCAACTGGTAGAAAGCTCATACCTAATTGACTGGCTTTCCAAAATATTGTTATCCTAAACAGTTGATGATTTATCCAGATACTAAATGGAAAGAACCCAGCCACCAAAGGATATGTGTATTACAGAACCTAACAGGGGGCATAAAATTATTTACGGTAACCAAACCTGTTACCTTTCTTCACTGTTTTTCTAGGAATTCAGTTTTAATGAATTCATTGAGTCAGCATTAAAATCTTTTGGTCCAAATCACTCCCACAAAATGTCTGTTTACAATTTATGCTGGAAATGGAAGGGATAGCTAGCTCAAAAGCAGGAGTGCAGAAGCAATAAGCATTTAAGAAAACAAAAAAACAAACTAGTGTAAGTGGTAAATAATCTACCTATTTGGCACCATCCTATGAAGAACCAAATCAGAGTAGAATCTTCCCACATCTACCCCCACCACACACATACACACAGGACAGGAAGCTATTTCAGAAATAAAATTCATTCTAAGTCAAAGGCCTAAACGATTGCTGTTTACAGATTCTATGCAGGTACAACGTCCACCGACATAAATTGTATTGACATAGCAAATTACTTCAGTTGACATTCTTGGGGGGAGTAAAGCCATTAAACTCAAAAGCTTAGATATACATTGCTACTTCTAAATTAAAAATACAAAATAAAATAAAAACAACTCAGCTTTGTTACTGCAGAAAGCAAACCTCTTATACAGCAGACTTTTCAATACAATCAAAATTTGATTAGTGTCATGATTATCCAACATTTCACTTACTTAAAAACATTATTTTGACATAAAATGAAACAAACAGCTGCAAGTATGCCACAGATTTTGAAATTCTTTGACATAAGAATACCACAGGCAAAAGTAAACAAAAACAAATCATTCTTACTTGTCCCATTGGTGGTCCTCCCATTGGGGGCATCATTTGTGGCATCATTCCATGAGGTACAGGAGGCATATTCGCTCTCTGACCCATAGGATGCATTCCCATTGGGGCATAATGCATGCCAGGGTGCCCCATCTGAAAAAGAGGGACAATTTAAAAATTTGCCAAGTTTCAATAAATGACTCTCAAAAATTTGATTCCTATAAATCAGTTCTGTGCATCACATAATATTTGGCTAATGTTTGACTCAATTACTTGGCTAAACTTTCTTGTCTTAAATAAAAGAATTACACCAGTGTTTATGAGCTTTAACTTGACCAAATTTCAAAAAATGGAAAAATTAAAATCAGTTCCGGACACCTAATTCATAGTTTTTTAGAGCATGCTGATTTAATCAATTGTCAGTTGGCTTGCTAACTGAGAGGAAATGCATGTGAAGACCAGCTTAACTGTTATGGTGAAAACCAAGACTTTGTCCTACTTCACAGATATAAGATAGCTAAGTATGTTCATTTTATAACGTCACATTATCAGATTCATTTCTAAGCTGATTTTAAGCTTTAGAACGCTGAAAATTTACCCAATTAACTGAGATGAGGGCTGATCTTATAAAAGAGAGCGTCGGTACCCGGGGACACTTCACTCCTAACAAACAAACATATTATTTCCTAATAGGATCTCTAACACAGCTAAAATTACTTACGCAAAAAAATATTTTCCTCCCAAAGACTAAGCTCTGTTATTTACGAGCACTAAACGTAAACAACCAATTTAGGCACCTTAATGCGCTTTTTATAAGCCAACTCCTTTCTTTACGTGTGTCCATTGTTCCAGGTCGTAAAACCAGGTAGTTATCTGCTGCCAATTCTCCCAGCTATCCCCCCTCTGCGAACACCACTACTACTAGTTAAGATTCTGGCAGACTCTGTTAAAAAGTCTACGGAAAAAGTCGCCGTCTCCGCCTCCCCGTCCCTGCTTAACCCGGCCTACCTCTCCAAAACGCTCACCCCGCCCAGGGCCCAGCACCTCCACCGCGCATCTGCCTAGGCCGAGCCTACTGAGAACTTCCAGGGTCCCACTTCCTTTCCTTTGTGCATCCCCGCTCTCCATTTCTCTCCCTCGGAACAAATCCCACCATCTCGAGCTCTTCCTTCGTCCACTCTCATCTTCTTCTCCTTTTGGAGAATGCTTCCTGTCTCTCTGACTCCGTTTTTCATTGTGCCGCTTTCCCTCTGCCCCACCGCTCCCTTACCGAGGGCCGTCTCCTCAGGAAGCCGTCAGCAGAGACCCAAGAGCTGGAGCAGAGGCTTGAGCCGGACAATCTCCGCTCCCCGTCCCCGAGACCCCGCGACGGAGGATGGTTCTCCATTTCACTCACCATGAGGCCTCCACGCTCGGCTCCCGTCCCCGGCCTCATCGTCGGGCTCAGACTGCTCCGCCGGCGGCCACTGCCGCTACACATACCAACAAAAAGCGATCTGAGTGGCTGGCGCCCACTGGGGCCAAAGGTTAAAGGCTGCCCTGCGCTATAGGGTGGGATCAGCGGGGCCAGTAGGCTGACAGGCTTTCCCGCTGTCCAATCAGACTGCGCTGCCGACTCGCAGCTCTTCGGCGATTCGCCCCCGACCTCAGCCTAACTCAGCGTCGCCGGCATGGGGTTGGGGGAGGGGGACGGAAGAAGTTTCCGCGCCGATTGCCCTGCAGGGAAAACTCCACCAACTTTCCCCGGGGACGGGAAGACGACGGTGTCCCAGCTTCCCGAACTTAAGACTGCCACACCACGTAAAGGGTGGGCCAGTGGAGGCCTGCCACCTTCAACACCACCTCCCCACCCCGCCCGAATTACCTATGCCCCACAAACCTGAGGCCGCCAGGGGTAGGGTAGGGTGGGATCGGGGTAGGGTAAGCAGCCTCTTGCGTTAGCAGCAGTGACTAGGGCCGGTAGTGTGCGCGCGGGACTAGAGGCGGAGGAAGGGCGCGGGGCAAGCTAGAGGAGGGGTCGTCAGGAGCGGGTACGAGCTCTTACACACCAGCTGGCCAGCGCGCGCCAGGGTGGGGCGGGGTGGAGGCCTGCCCAGCGGCTTGGAGGGAAGTTGTGGTAGGGGCGGGGCGAACAATGTGAAAGGGAAGGCGGTATTGGGCAGTTAAGGGAGATGAGAGCGCCAGGCGCTGAGCTCCCGTTAATGAGGGAAGCCGGGGGGAGAGTGCAGGTGTAGAGGAGAAGATGGGAGAAAGCAAACAGATTCGGGACTGTGTGTTAGCGGGCACTGGCGGGCGCTAGGACCGGGCGTAGAGGAGGTGCGGCTTCGGGACTGCGAAGGCAAGCTCTAGTTTAGAGGTGACGCGAAGGTGGCGGAGATTTCTGGCGGAGAGACTAAACGCTGCAGGGAGAGGAAACTCGGCTTCTTTGGGCCTCGGCTCGCCTTCCGTCTTACTGCTTGCGGGTCGTGCTCTGGTCCAGGGGCGCTCAGCCTCTCCTCGGCCCCACGGCACCTTTCTTGCCCCAGCGCGCACCCTTGCGCACCCCTGCGCGCCAGGGCCTAGTGGTGGAGGCCGCGGGGGGCCCGGCCGCTCATTGGCTACTGCGACCGCGGGCGGGGTGGGTGGGCGACGCGCTGGACCTCAGAGAGCCTGAGCGTCTTTCCCGCCATGTCGTTTGTGGAGAGCGGGAAGCGTTCGGCCCTTCTGCGCCGCCGGCCCGGCACTCCTGTCCCGTTCGCTCGACCTGCGTATTCCGTTTTCAGTCAGGGAGATAGTTGGGGTGAGGGCGAAGTCGAAGAGGAGGAGGGATGCGACCAAGTGGCCCGTGATTTGCGGGCGGAGTTCTCGGCCGGGTCGTCGTCGAAACCCAGAAAGGACTCGGTACTCCGGCCAGATGGGGACGGATCTCCGCTTCTGCCCGATAAACGCAATGGCATTTTCTCGGCGGATGCGGGTGGTAAAGCCCTGGCTCGGCGTTGGCCGGTCCAGGTCCTCTCAATTCTCTGTTCGCTGCTGTTCGCCATCCTCCTTGCCTGCCTGCTCGCCATCACCTACCTGGTCGTAAAAGGTACAGAAGGAAGCCGGGGCCTTGAAAGCCTATCCAGAGTTTACTTCAGTTGAGCTTGGACGTGGCCCTTGCCTTCATCGCCCTCGCCCCCATCGAAGGCGGCAAGCTTGGTAGCTGGTTTTATCCATACGCTTCATCCGCACCTTTCTTTGGTCTTCCCCTTTGTCTTCTCTTTTCTTAAAAGTAGAAGACTTTGGTCGGTGATCAGGAGGCCCGTTTTAAGAAAGGGTCTTGATAGGTTGGTAGTCTTGAAGAAATAAATCAGTGAACACTTGGGGATAAAATATTGGTAAAATCAAGCAAAATGCAAAACAGCTGTCCTTAAAGGAAGGCGGTGAAGAGGGTAATTTTAAAAGGCTATACAAGTTCGAAGACTTTAATCCGCAGATGTTAGAGGTGTACAATCCACTTGTTCTGTGCACATTGAATTCCTGAAGAACAAGGATCTCCATTGCACAGGCCAAAATGTCTACTTCGGTAAAGTAGTCCCTCGGGTTTTGTACTAAGTTTGCAACCCAGTGTTACTGGTGAAATTCTGTTGCACAGCAAGATAGTCTGTTCTTTCTCTGATTAATGGCTTTACATTTCCGTGTCTGAAGTTGAAATACTGGCCAGGTTGAAATAGAAATATGCCTTGATAGGTTTTCCAGAACTCGTACAAATGTATTATGTGTTTGGATATTTTACCGTGGGAAGAATCAGACCTGAGTTGAAACCTCAGTTCTAACTGTGATTTTGGCTAAGTTATTGGGGAAAAAAACTACGTTAGTTTGTTGTATGAAAAGCACCCAACATGTTACTCGAGTACTAGTTTTACTTCATTAAGTAGAATTAAATCTGTTTAATTATAGTTTTTATTTTCCCTCGTTGCTTCAGGCCCCTCCTGAGCGGTTCATGGCATCTAACACCTTTGCCTGCTTGATTTTCATACGGAAGAGAGATTGGCATGTTAATGTGAGAGTTTGATCTCTTCCTACAGTGGTACTGGGTGTAAACTGTCAGTGTTAAATATTTGGGTGCCAGTGTTTCTTTCCTCTACCACTCCCCTCCCCCATTTCTTTCAAAGCAGCTCAGTTTTGTCTTGTAGGTAGTTATTTCTATTCTACTCAGATTGCCTTTGTTCATAAAGTCATAAAACTTGGTAAGTGGAAGTGCATTGCAGAAGACCTTAAACTGTGCTTATTTTGGAGAATAAATAGCTGAACTCAAAAACGAGTAATTTGCCTTGTATAAAATGTCTTGGGAATAAAAATTCCCATTTTAAATACATAGCAGTTGATCATAAACATTTTATTTGCTTACTGAAGGTCACATAGCTAGTAAATGGAATCCAGGTTTGAACCCAGTTGTTTCCAGCTCCACAGCAGTTTCCAGAACTCCGTGTCTTTCTAGCCTTTGAGCTTCTGTTCAAGTTATAAAATCATCTCTTTTTGTATTTACAGAGTTACATGCTGAAAATTTGAAGAATGAAGATGATGTAAACACTGGACTGTTAGGTATGGACCTTACTGTCACTTGATTTTTGAGCTCAGTTTTGTTTTCTATGTTTTAATGATATACAGGTTTGGATAAAGTACGTAATATATTCCCTGTGCGATGTTGTTTCACTCTTCTTTGTTTGTATATGTATGTGGTATGTTTTATTAGACTTTCTTTTTATGTATGAGTATATGTTTGTTTGTATGCCAGACACACTAGGAATATGTTTTCAACACAACTGTATGTAACAGGCCCAGAGAATACTTAACATTTTTTAGTTACCTTTTGGAAAAGCCTCTCTACACTTCTTCCCAAGAAGTAAACAAACAAACATCTCCTCACAGACATAACAAAGATAACATCTTAAGCAGGCCTCAGAAGTAGTTTAAGTTCAAATCTCCTTATAAGCAACTTAGTTTTTTAAAAACTATGAAAAGCATTGGGTATACTTAACACAAGCTAGTTATGACTAGGAAAAAGACAGACCTGAGTTTCTATAGAATGTCAGTAGAATGCTAGTTTACAGATTTGTAGTAAAAAAAATTCAGTTCTTATTTAATCTTTATTTTTCTCTGCCAAAATAATTGTGAAGAGTTCAGAATTTTACCTGTCTGGCATATTTTACTCCTACTTGCTATAATTTATTTGGCTGATCACTCTGAATTGGGGATGAGGGTATGGGAAATGATTGAGAGCTTATCCCACTTGTTACTCCCTCCCCCAATGTTAGCTAAACTATTAAACTACCTCTTCAAGGCTAATGTCCTCATGATTAGGACAACAGAGTCCACCTGACTTTGCCAGAAGGGAAGCTTTTATCTTTAGATTACGAACAGGTTAGTTTGCTAGCTGTCCCATGAAAACTTGTCTGTGCTTGTCTTAACTTCTGGCATGAGAAAACATGTCCTTTTCAGTTACTCATTTTGTTAGTGTGCCTCTGTGTGTTGTTAAACTGTTGCATCTCTAAAATAAACAGTGATCATAAGGCTTTTCATAGCATTTATTGATCTGTCAACTCTTGACTGAAAGGAACAATATATAAGCCTAAATGCCTGTTAAGAAACTTAATTTCCGAAGGAGCTGAGACACTGCTATTCTCATGCTTCTTTCTGTGAAAGAAATGTTCATGGGGAGCCCATTTATAGTTTTTTACAAAAGGTTCATGATGACCATTGTATCAGTGCCTTTGGGAGTTGATTGATCCTAATGGCTAACAGGAATAGGCTATTACAGTGTTCTTCTTAACTAGTGAGGTAGTCCCACCAAGGAGATGTGATTAATACTTTCGGCTTCTCCCCATATCTTCCCTGGTTGACATTGGAATCACACTGCAGAGTTTGTAGGGCTTTCCTTTTATAATTGTCCTATAAGCCTATTTTTCAGATAAATTAATAAAATAAAACTTAAGGTCATTTAGTTGAAAATCACATTCCAGCCATTCCTCCTTGAAGTTATTTTCTGGCCAAATTGATTGCACAAATCATATATAACATTGAACTGTTTGATTTTCCACATTTGCTTTTCTATCAACATTTTCCCAAATTTGATCACATTTCGCAGTTAGTCCTGTTTCCAATTTTTGTGTTTTTTTCCTAGTTTTATAACTAGGAAAGTATCAGAAAGAAGGATAAATGATCTTTTATTTGAGGCAAACCTGAAATAAGTACATAAAATAGTAGAAGGAATTGCCTTTAGCAGACACTCCTTAATGTGAGACTGTTAACCAAATGTAGTGCTAGTACTTTTACAAACACTGTAAATAGTACTATACAGAAATTGTAATCAGACTTTGTGGAGTTCCTTCAGTGTCTAAAAAGTTTTAAAATTTGATCTTTGGTTCCTATGAAATCTATTAGTTAGTAGTTACCTTTAAGTCCCTTTTGTGACTAGGAGCAGATTTCCTAGCATCTTGCAGTGTCAAGGGCTGTTTATTTTTTAGCTGCCCATTTACTGCTTGTTTTATGCTTGAGATGTTTCCAGGCTTCTACACATTTTCCAGAGAAGAGATGACTGACAAAGATGATGTCTGCTCATTTAAAGAGTTGATGATTGATTTCATTTCTTCTGCACAGTGATAAGTGAGACTTTGTATCATCATAATTGAATGATACAGAACATTAGAAATATGGTAAAAATTTCCAAGGGAAAGGATGTGTTGGGAAATGACCCATTCTCTTAGAAAGGTGCAAGTTGATAGCAACGGACTCAGTTTCTTCCTCGCAGTGAAAGCTAATTAAAACCATAAACTTGAGCTTTTTAGTGGGTATA